AATCGTTCCTCAAATCTCCTAGTTATAATTATACTTTTCTTTTTTGGTACAATTCTCGCCGGTGTCGTAGGATCCTAAAAATAGTCAGGAAGCAAAATAATAACTCATATTTATGGCAAAACAATTAAAGGTTGAGACAATGAAGGGCTATTTGGATACGACTTGACTCTTTTACTACTACTTGAACTCTTATTTGGTGTGTTGATATCTTTCAAACAATATTTCTATTTTAAAATTTCAGTTTCTAAAACTTTATTTTTCAATAATAATTATTTTTATAATAATGTATGTGAAAATATTGTCCTTAATTCAAAACTCATTTTAGTCGGCTATCTAAAAATTTTAAAAAAATTCTTTAGCCAGTGATTTTTTTTTATAGTATGACTCCATTTTGATTTTTGATATTAACCATATTAGATATATGAGAGATTTGAATTATATGTAAATAACCTTAAAATTTAAACCGTCTAGATAATTATAGATAATAGTTAGATATTAATTAAGAAACACTACACGAAAAACGGCTAATATTTTTCTCAAATCTTGTAGTGATAATTTTATTCTTGCACCATTCTCATTGGTGTCATTGGAACCTAAAAATATCCACAAAGTGAAATAATAACTCGTATTTATGGCAAAGCACAAAGGTTGACACAATATGAACAATTCTTTGGTTACGACGTGACTCTTTTACTACGACTTGAACTCTTAATTGGTATGTTATTATCTTTAAAAAAATATTTTTATTTTGAAATTTCAATTTCTAAAACTATATATATATATATATATATAATTATATAATTCAATAATAATTATCTTTATCATGATACAAGTGAAGATATTATCCTTAAATTTTTTTTTTCACTTTAATCGGCTATCTAAGAATTTAAATGATTCCTTAGCCAGTGAAACTTTATTTCAGTATGACTCCATTTTGAGTTTATCGATATCTCTAGCCACATATTTTGAATTTTGAATACCCTATATATACAGATTTTAAAATATACTTTTGTTACACTTGAAATTCGCTATAGAAACTATCCATTAAAAACGAATATCCCTCTTGTTGAATTCGAGAAAAAAAATATTTCACATAATCTAGTGATTCAAAACTAATATTCTACAACGAAAAAAATATTATACCCTTGCAATGTTGGATTGACAACAACTAAATAAAGAGGTTTTAGCTTATACCCTTCAATTCCTAGAAGGTGCTAAATTGAAATTAATGATAACAACTGTACAACTAGGTTTTGTTATTTGTTTGATGTCCATTTATACAAATTGACTCTTCAAATATATATTCTTCAAAAAAGAAAAAAATAACTTTTTTTTGAATATTGATAGATTTGTGTAATGTTTCTTTCTCTAGCCTGTATGTGTACTTCATTATATATGTAAATAAAGTTTTATTCAATTTTTAAACTCTTTTTTGTTATCTAGATAAACATAGATGTGTTATATATATTACATTTATTTTAAAAGAAATTCGCTTTATTTAAATCTAGGTATAGTGTTTTACATAATTATATTTTAAGGTTTTAAATGTGAAAGAATTTTATAGTTATATGCACTAGTTTTTTTTTTCTTTTTTTGCCAGAGGCGAAGTAGTATTTAAATAATTAGAAAAGATAACAAAAGTTCCTAACATGATTGCATAGGATTAATAACTGAATTAAGTATGATAACATGATAACAAAAGAATTTCTTTTTATTTTAATTCAAATTTTAAAAGTTTATCTATAAATTCAAAATTATTCTTTAATTCAAAACCAAAATTTTTGTCAAATCTCGTAGTGTAAATTTTATTTTTTCACCATTCTCATTGGTGTAATTGAAACCTAAAAATAAGCGAAATAATAACTCGTATTTATGGCAAAACACAAAGGTTGAGACAATATGAACGATTCTTTGGTTACGACGCAATTCTTTTACTATGACTTGAGCTCTTATTTGGTATGTTGTTATCTTTAAAAAGAAATATTTCAATCTTGAAATTTTAATTTCTAAAACTTAATATATAAAATATAATGATGCAAGTGAAGATATTATCCTTAATTTAAAATTTATTTTAATCGGCTATATAAAAATTTAAATGATTCTTTAGCCGGTGAAACTGTATTTGAATATGACTCCATTTTGAGTTTGTCGATATCTCTAGCCACATATTTTAAATTTTGAATACCCTATATATACAGCTTTTTTGGTTCATCAAATCATTAAATGTTGAATTAGTTGATTGTTATTATATAACATTGCATATATTGTCTTAAAATTGCCAAGTAATTTTTTCTCGATACTATACTTGGCTTAACTTCGATAGAAACTGCTCAAATCGCATTTAAATTCAAATTCGAATACATAGCAGTTTGTTAGTAATAGTGATTTTTTAAAAATGAAACGCAATGTAAATTAAAAAAAACTTCTAAAATGTCCTTTTCTTATAATCTATGTATTTTAGTGGAAAAAAATATTTGAAATCGATGAGATCAGCTTCCAAATGTTTTATTCTCAATAAAGATGAAATAGAAGAAGAAATGCGTTGTCATCTCTTATTTCTGATTTTTAGATTTTTCATATATATTTTTCTATATTTATTTTTGTTTTATCTTATTTTTTCTTTCTTTCTTTCTTTGTTCCAAAAATTTAATTTAATCACAATAAAAGGATGAATTTTAATTGAAATATTCTACATAAGAACTTTATTTACATTTTTAGTTCTTGGTTGAAATTCTTTCATATTTTTCTTTTGGCTTTATCTAATCAACCTAAATAGGTACTCACCCAATCACTTAAATTAAAATATTAAATGATGTGTAATTTATATATAATATGTGTATAATCATGTGTGTCGACATATTATCTATGTATATTAGCTATAAAAAGTAAACAATTAATTTGGCCGGATATTTATGTAAATATTCCATAAGATTTCGTTTCTCGATTTTATCCATTATGACTTCTATTATAATAATTTTAAAAACTTTCTACTAAAATTCAAAAATATCTTATCTTTTTATTTTTAAAATTACATTATATTTTAAAAAATAATCTCATTTTGAAATAATTTGTTTATATTTTTTATTTTAAAAAACATGTCATAACAATTTTTTTTAATAAAAAAAATATACTTCTTGTTACACTTGAAAATTGCTATAGAAACTATTCAATAAGAAACCAATATCCTTCTTGTTGAATTTGAGGAGAAAAAACCTTTCACATAATTTACTGATTCAAAACTAATATTCTTCAACGAAAAAATATTATACCCTTGCAGTGTTGGCTTGCTTATACCCTTCAATTTCTAGAAGGTGTTAAATTCAAATTAATGATAGCAATTGTATAACCAAAGTTTTGTTATTTGTTTGATGTCCATTTATACAAATCGACTCTTCAAATAAACATTCTTCAAAAAGAAAGAAAAAATAACTAAAAATAACTGTTTTTGAATATTGGCGGATTTTTGTGATGTTTCTTTCTTCAGCATGTAGGTTTACTTCATTATATATGTAAGTAAATTCTTATTCGATTTTTAAACTCTTTTTGTTTATCTGGATAAACATAGACGTGTGCCCTATATATTACATTTATTTTAAAAGAAATTTGCTTTATTCTATTTAGCTATAGTGCTTTAAAGTACTATAATTTTATGATTTTAAATGTGAAAGGATTTTATAGTTATATGTAATAGTTTTTTTTTTTCTTTTCTTTTTTGCCAGAGGCGAAGTAGTATTTAGATAATTAGAAAAGATAACAAAAGTTCATAATATAATTGTATATGATCATTAATCTAATTAAGTATGATAACATGATAACAAAAGATAAATTTCTTTTTTACTTTAATTCAAATTCAGTTTATAATATATATATCCGATGTGCATGCTCCGAGAGTTAATTGAAGTTTAGTTAGTGGTGTGCTGATCAATTAAATAAAAAATTTGGATCACTGACATTCAGATACCCACGCAAACTTTCAAAAACCGTAAGCTTTCTAGTTACAGGACGTCTTTTCTAAGGCACAATCATTTGAAGTTCATTACAAAAGCTTTTCCGTCTCTCTTTAATTTTTTCAGCTAATTTCTGTTCATAGAAATCGCCTTCTCTTCCGCTGTGTTTTGTGCTGTCATTTTGTTTTTCATTTTCTGGCCACGTTCACTCAGTCTTACAGCCCATTCTTCAAGTCACGAGGCTCTACTCATATAGGCAAAGTTAAGAATTTTGTTTCAAGATTTTATATATATAGTAATTAATATTTGACCTATCACACAATATAATTCTTCACCAAAGAATATTCAAGTAACCACTCTTCCTTGATTGTTGGCAGGGGCGGAGCTTGAGCGCCGATTTTTGGCAGAACCAAATAATTTTTGCTCAAATAGTGCATTTTCGTTAAAAACCTCACTAAATATGAACAAATATTAAATTTAGAATTCATTTATTAGCACTTAAAATTGTCATTCAAAAATTAGAACAAATAACGTTGAATCTTGCTCCACCTCTGAGCTCACGCCCTGTCTACTCAAGAAGTCACGTCTCCTAGTCTAATACCCTAGAAAAAGATGATATACTGGTGCAATATGTTTTTTTTTTTTTTGCCTAAAAGATGCAATAGTTCAACATAGGCTAGATGAATACATACACACGTAAATTAGGCATATATAGAACCGCCTGCTTACCTCTTGATCAGTTACGTTGACTTTGCTTACAAAAGCTCATGTTTAAATGATTTCCATGTGACATTGTGTGACTGCTACCGTGTTATCCCACATTTACAACTCATTTTTGTGCAGCTTACAGCAATTTTATTCTCATTTACTAATCATGATCAGAATTGAACAATTAAATAAAATCCTCCCTACTGCCAATTTTGATCCCTATAAATATATTAACATCTTCCCTCCTCCCTCCTGCCAATTTTGATCTCTATAAATATATTATCATCTTCCCTCTATTCCCAGCACACAATTCAAAACATTTCTCAAACACAATTAGCAGGAGAGATGGAGGTGTACTCTACTTGCAAAAGCATGATGTTGCCCCTTTTGGCAATTGTTTTATTCATTTCGCTAACTCAGCCTGCAGCCACAGCTGCCAAAGTCTCTCGGCCAGCCTACACAAATTTCGTCAAAACCAAATGCAACATCACCACATACCCTTCCCTCTGCCAGAAAACACTAATTCCCTACGCTTCTTCTGTGAAAATCAATTCCACAAGGCTATGCAAAGCAGCCCTTAACGTAGCCATAAGTGGCGCTCGCAGCGCCACTGTAGCTGTCTCGGGACTGAAAAAGAAGAAGGGTATAACCAAAACTGAAGCCGCCGCTATCAAAGACTGTTTTGAAGATGTCAAGGATGCTATATACGAACTCAAACTGGCTGTTGACGCAATGGGACATTTGGGTGATAAAGATAAAGAATTTCAGTTGGCTAATGCCAAAACATATGCAAGTGCTGTAATAACAGACGCAGATTCATGTACTGAAGGTTTCTCAGGCCGAAAGGTAAATCCAGCTGTGAAGAAAATCGTAAATAGTTGCATGGCAAATATTACCAAACTTGCTAGCAATGCGTTAGCACTCATTAACCATCTTTATTAAAAATTTATGTAATCGGATCCGTGGAAGGATTCAGCGTCTGATTTCTTGGAATTAATGCACATGAGGTTCTTCTTATTATATTCTGGATTTGGAATCTTGTTTAATCTCTGTTTTAAGACACCATTATATATATAGTTAATCACATGACACTACTAGAAATATGCAAAAAAACGACCAAAATTTTCCGACCAACGTTGTTCGGTCAAAAAAAGTGATCAAAAACCGTTCAGCTTGGACGGAAACTGGGAAAAAAATATTTTACAATTATTTTTAAAAAAATGCCGACCAAAGTTGGTCAACAAGTTGACCAAGCTGGTCAAACTTGCTTAGTCAAAAAAACTTTCACATTACCGACCGACTTTGGTCGGTAATGTGGACCCAATTTTTTAAATTTTAATAGTTATATTATTATTTAAAATATTTTATAATTTAAAGAATTTTTATTTAAATATACCGACCAACTTTGGTCGATATATTTTAATTTCTGGAAATTAACCGACCAAAGTTGGTCGGTTATTAGGTCAACATTGGTCAAAATTATGAATCACTTTTATATTTACTATCTAAATAATATAAATATAATTCGTTAACACTTTTGTAATACAAATAATGAATACGCAAACATATATTATAACATGTTATATATGTAGTTAAAGTAGTACAACGAAGCGTGTTTTATATATATATATATATAGGTCAAACGTTTTGTTTTAAATATTCAACGATGCATCTAAGTAAGTTATAAGTCGACGAATCAATTAACAAATAGATATATTTGATGATAAATTATATATACTAATTAGGATCTTCACAAGTCTATCCCTAAAAGAACCCGACTTATATATATAGTCCTATATATATAAGAACACGAAGCGCTAGGAATACAGGGTCAAGTTCGTTTAGGGATAGATCACTTGTGAAGATCCTAATTAGTATATATAATTTATCATCAAATATATCTATTGTAAATTGATTCATCGACTTATAACTTATTTAGATGCATCGATGAATATTAAAAACAAAACCTTTTGACCTATATCGATTAATATAAAAAAACAAAATGTCTCGACCTAAAATAGAATAATATTATATTAGTTTATCAATTGATAAATTATTCGTACGTAGTAATGTATAAGATTGATCATCAATTACAATATCGTGTATGTGTGTTTGTGTGAAATTACTCATATACTTAAATATAACTTAAAAAATTTACTTAGATAGATGCTATTATAATCTATTAAAAGTAATTACCTAGTTAATATAATTTTGTGTAAAGATTATGCTTATAGTTTATAATTATTTATAATAATTGTATAGTTAAATAAAATAAATATTTATAGTTTACAATAATTTTTTATAGCTTACAATATTTTAAGAAATAAAAACAAAACAATATTTTTTTTATTATTTTAAATAATAACCGACCAACGTTGGTCGGTATTTGGTCAAACGGTCAACACTTAATGTACCGACCAAAATACCGACCAACGTTGGTCAGTAAGTGTGAAAACAGACCTGAAATATACGGGATTCCCCCCGTCTTTTCATATCTCTCTTCTCAAAATTCCATAAACTCCAACTCAATAACTTCCGGTCTCCCTCTCTATTTCCCTCACACAAATAACATTCCCCACCCCGCGTCGCCACCGCCCAGCTGCCGCTGCGCCGTCGCCGCTGTCGTTGTCGCGTCTCTCCTTCTCCACCTCCTAAAAATTCTAGGTTTAAATTACAACTTATATCTTTTATGTATAAATCTAATATTTTGTTTATTAGCTATGAATTAGTTTCAATTGATTAGTGTTTCAATTGATTATTTAACATTGTATTTTATAGAAATCAAGGGTTTAGGTCTTGTTTTAATTGAATTGATTACATATGGTATAAATTGAATGTTTGAGTTTGTATTGTCTTGAATAGTTTAGTTAGAATTGGATTCTTAAATAGTTTAGTTAGAATCTAAGGTTTAGGATTTGTTCTTGTGAATCGAACTTTTAGGGTATGGGTTGAATTTTTAGGATATAATCCTAACTTTTAGTTTATGTTTAAACTCGTAAGATATAAATTGAACTTTTAGTTTATGTTTAAACTCGTAGGATATGAATTGAAATTTTAGTTTTTAGGTTTTGTTCTTGTGAATTGAGCTTTTAATATATGAATTGAACTCGTTGGATATAAATTGAACCTTTTAGGTATGAGTTGAATTTTTAGGACATAAATTGAACTTTTAGTTTATGTTTAAACCCGTAAGATATAAATTGAAGTTTTACTTTATGTTTAAACTTGTAGGATATAAATTGAACATTTAGTTTTTAGGTTTTGTTCTTGTGAGTTGAACTTTTAAGAAATGAATTGAACTTGTAGGATATAAATTGAACCTTTTGGGTATGAGTTGAATTTTTAGGATATAAATTGAACCTTTTGGGTATGAGTTGAATTTTTAGGATATAAATTGAACTTTTAGATTATGTTTAAACTCGTAGGATATGATGTGATGACCCAAAGGGTCATCATTTGTTTTAGAATCCGAATTTGGGTTTCGAGGCCTTGAAAATCTTATTTTCTTTCTCCTCGATTTGTGTGCCATTCCGGGCGTGTTTTCGAAAAACTTTTATGTGAAATTTAAGAAAAATATTGAAATTTGCCTTTAAAATTGATTAAAGTTGACTTTGGTCAATATTTTTGGTAAACGGACCCAGACCCATAATTTGACGGTCCCGTAGGGTCCGTAATAAAATATGAAACTTGGGCGTATGCCCGGAATTGAATTCCGAGGTCCCTAGCCCGAGAAATAAATTTTTGAAGAAAATTATTTGCTCGAAAATATAAGAATTTTTAGGAATGGAATAGTGTGTAATCTCGTTGGTACCGGGCCCGTATTTTGGTTCCGAAGCCTGGTACACGTTTGATATAGTATTTAAGTCGTATCTGTGAAATTTGGTGAAAAATGGAAGAGATTCGCTATAAATCGAACCCTTGGTTGAGAAAATAGAAATTTTGAACTATCTTGAGAATTTCATGAGTTTTGGTGTTAAATTCGTTGTTTAAGATATTATTTTGGCGATTTGAATGCACGAACAAGTCCGTATGATATTTTTAGACTTGTGTGCATGTTCGGTTTGGTGCCCCGAGGGCTCGGGTGAGTTTTGGATAGGCCACGGTGTGTTTCGGACTTAGGAAAATATTGCTGGTATGCTTCAGCTGTTGTAGGCCTCTAATCTCGCAATTTTGAGATCAGGCTTCGTAATTGCGAGCTTCACAGTCTTGGAAATTGCGAGCCTTTCATCGCAAATGCGACCAAAAGCCTGGACCAGCAAGTTCGCATTTGCGAACACTCCTTCGCATTTGCGAAGTCAATAGGGAGGGTCAACCTTCGAATTTGCGAAGCCTGTCTCGCATTTGCGAGTTTCGCAATTGTGAAGCTCCTGTCGCAAATGCGACATTTGCGACTCATTAAAATATGACTTGTACGGGATTTTGAACTCATTTCTCAAATTTTCAAACCCTAAGCTCTCATAGGCGATTTTTCCAAAGGAGAGTTCACCCCCAAATCATAGGTAAACGATTTCTAACTCATTTTCTTCAATTTATTTCATCTTTTTACATGATTTCATCTCAAAATCTAGGATATTTCATGGAAAATTGGGTGGTTTTGGGTAGAATTTAGGAATTTTGAAATTTGGGGAATTATACCTCAAATTGAGGTCGGATTCCAAAACCAATTGTATATATGGGATCTGATACCAACTTATCACGACCCGAATTTTTCATCCTAGAGAGTCGTGATAGAGCCTACTAATGTGAGCTAGGCAAGCCAATTATTGAACCATCTACCCTTTTACCAATCTTATTCTCTTTAATAATTACGAAAAATAAAATTTAAACGGCGGAATATAACATAAGCGGAAGAAAACAATAAGCCATCTGAACAAGAATATCTATTACAATTATTTGAGTCTCGACTACCCGGAACTGGTGTCAAAGTTTCACAGACGGTCTAAGAATTCTACAAATAAATGTATGAAAGAATTAAATACAACACTGTCTCTGGAAATACATGTAGAAACAGGAAAGTAGATAGAAGGAGATGTCAATGCCTGCGGACGCCTGCAGGACTACTTCGAGTCACCTGATGAGCAAGAATCAGCAATCCCACTGCGGTCTAAAGTCTACAACACTGGGGTCTGCACAAAAGAGTGCAGAATATAGTATCAGCACAACCGACCCCATGTGCTGGTAAGTGTCTAGCCTAACCTCAGCGAAGTAGTGACAAGGCTAGAACCAGACTACCAAATAAACCTGTGCAATTTAACTATATACAACGGAAAAAGAAGTACAGAAAGAAATAGTCATATACAGTCAAGTATGGGAGGGGGAAAACATACTACGGGGAAACATCGAATAGTAACAGAAGAGTAACAAATAAGTATGAGGTTCACCACAGTTCAATTAAAAATGGGAAGGGGCAATCATGTTGCGGGGTACAACAAGTATCAACAGGAAACCATCAATTTAGTGTAGAGAAATCGTAGCACAGTTATCAATAAAAATTAGGAAATCAAAGACAAGTGCACGGCATCACCCTTCGTATTTTTACTCTCTCTCACCAAAACAATACACGACATCACCCTTCGTGCTTTAACACTCTCTCACCAAAATAATGCACGACATCACCCTTCGTGCTTTATGCTCTTCCTCATCCAAACAACAATCACAAGGCAAATAGGGTAAGGGAATCTATAACCTCGAAATACAATCAAGTAACAACAGAAAATCAGTAAATAAATGTAAAGGACAACATAACTCAATTATCAGCAAGAATCAGGGAAAATCAAAGACAAATGCACGATATCACCCTTCGTGCTTTTACTCTCGTCCTCACCATAAGAATCAATACAATAGGCATGGAATGGTACATCGTGCGGCACGGCATCACCCTTCGTGCTTTACACTCTTTCCTCACCATGAAATCAATATAATAGGTACAGAATGGTACATCG